CTATAGTCTAGTCTATAGTATAGTCTATAGTCTAGTCTATAGTCTAGTCTATAGTCTAGTCTATAGTCTAGTCTATAGTCTAGTCTATAGTCTAGTCTATAGTCTAGTCTATAGTCTTCTCTATAGTCTAGTCCATAGTCTAGTCTATATTCTAGTCTATAGTTTAGTCTATAGTCTAGTCTATAGTCTAGTCTATAGTCTAATCTATAGTCTAGTCTATAATCTAGTATATAGTCTAGTCTATAGTCTAGTCTATAGTCTAGTCTATAGCCTAGTCTATAGTCTAGTCTATAGTGTAGTCTATGGTCTAGTCTATAGTATAATCTATAGTTTAGTCTAGTCTATAGTCTAGTTTATAGTCTAGTCTATAGTCTACTCTATAATCTACTATGTAGTCTACTCTATAGTCTAATCTATATAGTAGTCTATAGTCTAGTCTATAGTCTAGTCTATAGTCTAATCTATAGTCTAGTCTATAGTCTAGTCTATAGTCTAGTCTATAGTCTAGTCTATAGTCTAGTCTATAGTCTAGTCTATAGTCTAGTCTATAGCCTAGTCTAGTCTAGCTAGTCTAATCTATAGTCTAGTCTATAGTCTAGTCTATAGTCTAGTCTATAGTCTAGTCTATAGTCTAGTCTATAGTCTAGTCTATAGTCTAGTCTATAGTCTAGTCTATAGTCTAGTCTATAGTCTAGTCTATAGTCTAGTCTATAGTCTAGTCTATAGTCTAGTCTATAGTCTAGTCTATAGTCTAGTCTATAGTCTAGTCTATAGTCTAGTCTACAGTCTAGTCTAAGTCTAGTCTATAGTCTAGTCTACAGTCTAGTCTATAGTCTAGTCTATAGTCTAGTCTATAGTCTAGTCTATAGTCTAGTCTATAGTCTAGTCTATAGTCTAGTCTATAGTCTAGTCTATAGTCTAGTCTATAGTCTAGTCTATAGTCTAGTCTACACACTAGTCTATAGTCTAGTCTATAGTCTAGTCTATAGTCTAGTCTATAGTCTAGTCTATAGTCTAGTCTATAGTCTAGTCTAGTCTATAGTCTAGTCTATAGTCTAGTCTATAGTCTAGTCTATAGTCTAATCTATAGTCTAGTCTATAGTCTAGTCTATAGTCTAGTCTATAGTCTAGTCTATAGTCTAGTCTATAGTCTATAGTCTATTCTATAGTCTAGTCTATAGTCTAGTCTATAGTCTAGTCTATAGTCTATTCTATAGTCTAGTCTATAGTCTAGTCTATAGTCTAGTCTATAGTCTAGTCTATAGTCTGGTCTATAGTCTATAGTCTAGTCTATAGTCTAGTCTATAATCAAGTCTATAGTCTAGTCTATAGTCTAGTCTATAGTCTAGTCTATAGTCTAGTCTATAGTCTAGTCTATAGTCTAGTCTATAGTCTAGTCTATAGTCTAGTCTATAGTCTAGTCTATAGTCTAGTCTATAGTCTAGTCTATAGTCTAGTCTATAGTCTAGTCTATAGTCTAGTCTATAGTCTAGTCTATAGTCTAGTCTATAGTCTAGTCTATAGTCTAGTCTACAGTCTAGTCTACAGTCTAGTCTATAGTCTAGTCTACAGTCTAGTCTATAGTCTAGTCTATAGTCTAGTCTATAGTCTAGTCTATAGTCTAGTCTATAGTCTAGTCTATAGTCTAGTCTATAGTCTAGTCTATAGTCTAGTCTATAGTCTAGTCTATAGTCTAGTCTATAGTCTAGTCTATAGTCTAGTCTATAGTCTAGTCTATAGTCTAGTCTATAGTCTAGTCTATAGTCTAGTCTATAGTCTAGTCTATAGTCTAGTCTATAGTCTAGTCTATAGTCTAGTCTATAGTCTAGTCTATAGTCTAGTCTATAGTCTAGTCTATAGTCTAGTCTATAGTCTAGTCTATAGTCTAGTCTATAGTCTAGTCTATAGTCTAGTCTATAGTCTAGTCTATAGTCTAGTCTATAGTCTAGTCTATAGTCTAGTCTATAGTCTAGTCTATAGTCTAGTCTATAGTCTAGTCTATAGTCTAGTCTATAGTCTAGTCTATAGTCTAGTCTATAGTCTAGTCTATAGTCTAGTCTATAGTCTAGTCTATAGTCTAGTCTATAGTCTTAGTCTATAGTCTAGTCTATAGTCTAGTCTATAGTCTAGTCTATAGTATAGTCTATAGTCTAGTCTATAGTCTAGTCTATAGTCTAGTCTATAGTCTAGTCTATAGTCTATAGTCTAGTCTATAGTCTAGTCTATAGTCTAGTCTATAGTCTTCTCTATAGTCTAGTCCATAGTCTAGTCTATATTCTAGTCTATAGTTTAGTCTATAGTCTAGTCTATAGTCTAGTCTATAGTCTAATCTATAGTCTAGTCTATAATCTAGTATATAGTCTAGTCTATAGTCTAGTCTATAGTCTAGTCTATAGCCTAGTCTATAGTCTAGTCTATAGTGTAGTCTATGGTCTAGTCTATAGTATAATCTATAGTTTAGTCTAGTCTATAGTCTAGTTTATAGTCTAGTCTATAGTCTACTCTTAATCTACTATGTAGTCTACTCTTAGTAATCTATATAGTAGTCTATAGTCTAGTCTATAGTCTAGTCTATAGTCTAATCTATAGTCTAGTCTATAGTCTAGTCTATAGTCTAGTCTATAGTCTAGTCTATAGTCTAGTCTATAGTCTAGTCTATAGTCTAGTCTATAGCCTAGTCTATAGTCTAGTCTATAGTCTAATCTATAGTCTAGTCTATAGTCTAGTCTATAGTCTAGTCTATAGTCTAGTCTATAGTCTAGTCTATAGTCTAGTCTATAGTCTAGTCTATAGTCTAGTCTATAGTCTAGTCTATAGTCTAGTCTATAGTCTAGTCTATAGTCTAGTCTATAGTCTAGTCTATAGTCTAGCCTATAGTCTAGTCTATAGTCTAGTCTATAGTCTAGTCTATAGTCTAGTCTATAGTCTAGTCTATAGTCTAGTCTATAGTCTAGTCTATAGTCTAGTCTATAGTCTAGTCTATAGTCTAGTCTATAGTCTAGTCTATAGTCTAGTCTATAGTCTAGTCTATAGTCTAGTCTATAGTCTAGTCTATAGTCTAGTCTATAGTCTAGTCTATATAGTCTAGTCCTATAGTCTAGTCTATAGTCTAGTCTATAGTCTAGTCTATAGTCTAGTCTATAGTCTAGTCTATAGTCTAGTCTATAGTCTAGTCTATAGTCTTGTCTATAGTCTAGTTTATAGTCTAGTCTATAGTCTAGTCTATAGTCTAGTCTATAGTCTAGTCTATAGTCTAGTCTATAGTCTAGTCTATAGTCTAGTCTATAGTCTAGTCTATAGTCTAGTCTATAGTCTAGTCTATAGTCTAGTCTATAGTCTAGTCTATAGTCTAGTCTATAGTCTAGTCTATAGTCTTCTCTATAGTCTAGTCCATAGTCTAGTCTATATTCTAGTCTATAGTTTAGTCTATAGTCTAGTCTATAGCATAGTCTATAGTCTAGTCTATAGTGTAGTCTATAATCTAGTATATAGTCTAGTCTATAGTCTAGTCTATAGTCTAGTCTATAGTCTAGTCTATAGCCTAGTCTATAGTCTAGTCTATAGTCTAGTCTATAGTCTAGTCTATAGCCTAGTCTATAGTCTAGTCTATAGTCTAGTCTATAGTCTAGTCTATAGCCTAGTCTATAGTCTAGTCTATAGTGTAGTCTATGGTCTAGTCTATAGTTTAATCTATAGTTTAGTCTAGTCTATAGTCTAGTTTATAGTCTAGTCTATAGTCTACTCTATAATCTACTATGTAGTCTACTCTATAGTCTAATCTATAGTGTAGTCTATAGTCTAGTCTATAGTCTTCTCTATAGTCTAGTCCATAGTCTAGTCTATATTCTAGTCTATAGTTTAGTCTATAGTCTAGTCTATAGTCTAGTCTATAGTCTAATCTATAGTCTAGTCTATAATCTAGTATATAGTCTAGTCTATAGTCTAGTCTATAGTCTAGTCTATAGTCTAGTCTATAGCCTAGTCTATAGTCTAGTCTATAGTGTAGTCTATGGTCTAGTCTATAGTCTAATCTATAGTTTAGTCTAGTCTATAGTCTAGTTTATAGTCTAGTCTATAGTCTACTCTATAATCTACTATGTAGTTTACTCTATAGTCTAATCTATAGTGTAGACTATAGTCTAGTCTATAGTTTGTTATGGAACATTGAGTAAGCGAATAATCTAATATAATAACTGCACAACCGGATTTAAATCCGGAAAAATTGGTTGAGTACATTTGTAATCAGTTATTTTTTGGACATCGTCTATTATTTGTTCAATTTATTGTATGAATGTTTTAATGGCTTTTTTCTGATGAAAATATTTTTTGAGTTTATTTAACTTTTTAGTTTAAATAGTACGTATAATTAACTAGTACTTAAAAACTAATTAATTAAATACCCTGTAAAAATACTTTGGACTACTACAATAGGTTGCAGAACTAATTGCGACATCAAGGTAGTCGTTCTGATCTATACTGATTCAGTTTGCAACCGCTCTATAACAAATTAATATAGAAGAAATTCTTAAAACTTCCCATGGGAAGTCATAATTTCCATATTTTTTATACGCATGTTTTTAATGAGTCTCTCTCATTACTAATTTAATAAGCTAAAAAATACTTATCAGTTTAAAAAGTTTTACTATTTTAGAGCAAAGATCAACTAATTAAAAACATATGTCATGTATAATTATAGATAAGATTATTATTACTAATTGTGGCACATTGAATAAATCTTATTTTAATTGTTGTTCATTAAACAATTGCTAATTTACCCTTTAACAATTATTTAATCTATTAATAAAATCTTAGGGTTTTCAATTTTTTTTAACATTTATGATTTATTATTATGTAAATTTTAGGTTTTAATATTTTTTTATTTTTTTATTAATCGTTTAAATTTTTATTAAATACTTAAGCATACCAAATGTTTTAAGGTTTTTTTATTTTGTTAAATTTATTTTGTTTTTCTTTTTATGTTTAATATACAGTTTTTTGAATTAATTAATTCTGTTGTTTTTATTTGCTGTTATTATAAATTTTAATTTATTAATAAATATTTTGCATATTTTTTAAATTTATTTTCTTATTTATTTTTGTTGTTGTCTTAAAACAATAGTATGCGCTAAATTTATGATAAACTTTAAACATTTTATATTAGTTTTTTAAATTAGCTTAATTTTATTAACTAATTGAAAGAAAATTTGCAAATAACACAGTTTTTTTGGTATTTGAAAAATAAAACATAAAAATGAGATTTTCAAAATTCTTTATAGCCATTAGATCAGCAGCCAATTTATCTTAAATAGTTTTATTTTTCGTATTTAATTCTTAATAGTTTAAACATTTAGAAAATGTGTCATGTCATTATATTAAATTATATAGAAAATATAATGCCATCAATGTTCCGTTAAATTTACAGCGAAACCTTGACGAAATATGTGTTAAACGAAAAAATTCCGAAAATGAAATTTCGCTCAAAAGTATTATAGAAATTCGCTTTTATATTAATATATTCCTTTCATTTTGTCAAATTTGTTCTAAAGCTTAAAACAGAATTTAGTTCCAAAACTTTTGTAGCTGTAATTAGAATTAATTTCGTTAACGATCGAGCTTTCAATAGAATTAAGATTTCGTTACGATTTTTATTACACAATAACTTTCAAAGCTTTTTAAGAATCTAGTTTTAAAGATTTGTTTTCTTTTATTATAAAATTTTAGCCTTTTTGGCCACATTTTTCCAAAGTTATTAAGTACTCTACCCTTAAAACTTCTAAAATTCTAAAAATAAATTATAAACTATTTTATATTAAAAAACTATGTATAATTTTACTTAATTTTAAAGATATATTTACAATAAAACTGAAATATTACAATATACACAGAAAAATCAATAAATAAAACTTTATTTAAAATTTTTGCTGCCTGTTTTTATAGTTGAGAACTTAGAATGTTGAATCGAACGATTTGGGTGAATTGGCTTAGCTTTTGTGAAACCATCCAAAAAGTTGGACGAACAGATTTTTTAGGAGTTATATTTAATCTCTAAAGTAGTGAACAATATAAAATTAGAAAATTTCTGTTATTCGAAATATCGTGTCCTGGAGTTTAAAATACGCCTTGTTGTTCCTTTTTGAGACCTTATAACTTCGCAAAATAAAATGATGTATGCCATTTGCATGTCCATTCTGTTAAGCTTTAAAAAAAAAGCTTAACATCTGACATATCTCCCTTCTTCTTTGAAATATCATCACCTAAAACTTGATACAACGTGTCAGGGTTTTGACCGGTTTGTCGGACTGTGTTATAATCTGCGTATTCACTCAAGTATCTCCTGCCCTGACTATAAACTCATCTATAGTGTAGACTTAAAACTCGTTTATATGCTAGACTAAGTATATACTCCTTCGTTGTCTGTAGTCTAGACTATAAACTCATCTATAACGTAAACCTTAAACTAATCTGTAATCTAGAAACTTGTCTATAGTCCGGACTATAATATTATTTACAGTAGAGACTAAAAGCTCATATATAACCAAAAAATAGAAACTAGTCTATAATCTATAAACTATATACTCGTCTATAAACTCGTCTATAGTCTAGAGTATAAAATCTTATATTGTTGGCTATAAAATAGTCCATAATTTAGAATATATATTCATCTATTGTTTTGACTATAAACTCATACGTATTCTAAGTTATAAACTAGACAATAATCAGGGCTATAAACTATAAATAGTTTAGTATATAAACTTGCCCATAGTCGGGGATATAAACTCGTATCAGACCCGCAGTCTAAGCTTTCGTGGATTAAACTGGGATAAAACTATCAACTCGTCTATAGCCTGCGTTATAAGCTAGCCTATAATCTAGACTATTAACTCGTCTATACTCTAGATTAACTATGAACTCATCTACAGTCTACACTACAAATCTGTCTGTAGTCTAGACTACAAACTGATCTATAATATAAAACTTAAATTAGTCTATAATGTATAATCTATAAACTTGCCTATAGTCCAAACTATAATCTTATCTATAGTCTAGAGTCTAGACTATAAACTAGTCTATAATCTGGACTATAAACTCTAGAGTCTAGACTATAAACTAGTCTATAATCTGGACTATAAACTCTATAGTCTAGAATATACACTATATAGTCTAGTATTTCAATTCTCATATAGTTTTTGCTATAAACTCGTCTATAATCTAGACTATAAACTCTTATATAGTTTTGGCTATAAACTTGTCTATTGTTTAGACTATAAATAGTTCGGTATATAAACTATATAAAATATGTATATAGTCTGGACTATAAACTCGTCACTATTCTAGTCTATAAACTCCTATAGACTATAACATAGTCCCGCAGTCTGAACTAGTTTTGAATATAAATATGTCTATAGTCTAGACTATAAGCATATATGCATGCAACTATCAGCTGATAGTCTAGAAACTTGTCTATAGTCCAGACTATAATCTTATTTATAGTCTAGACTATAAACTTTTCTATAATCTGGACTATAAACTCTAGACTAAAAACTCTTACATAGTTTTGGCTATAAACTATAAATAGTTTGTTATAATAACTTGTCTATAGTCTGGGCTATAAACTCGTCACTAGTCTAGACTATAAACTCCTAACCTGGTCCCGTAGTCTGAACTTTCAGCTCGTCTATAGTCTGGATTAAACTGTAATAGAATGTAATAAACAGTTTTGAATATAAATATGTCAAGACTAAAAGCACGCCTATTTTCTAAACTATCAGTTGATAGTCTAAATTATCAACTGCATTATAAGCTAGTCTATAATCTAGACGTTAAATTCATTTATATTTAGATTATAAATTTGTCTATAATCTAGACTATAAATTCGTCTATAGTCCACACTATTCTACTCTATAAACTCCTATAGACTATAACATAGTCCCACAGTCTGAACTAGTTTTGAATATTAATATGTCTATAGTCTAGACCATAAGCATGCATATAGTCTAAACTATCAGTTGATAGTCTAGAAACTTGTCTATAGTCCAGACTATAATCTTATCTATAGTCTAGACTATAAACTTGTCTATAATCTGGACTGGAATAATGTATATAGTTTAGACTCTAGACTATAAGCACGCCTATATTCTAAACTATCAGTTGATAGTCTAAATTATCAACTGCATTATAAGCTAGTCTATAATCTAGACTTTAAATTCATTGATTATTTAGATTATAAAATTGTCTATAGTCTAAACTAAAAACTCGTCTATAGTCCACACTATAAACTCTCCTATAGTCTGGACCATAAACACATCTGTAGTCTGTAAACTATAAATCGACTATTGAGAATATTTGTGGTAAACTTTAGACCTCTAGATTTTACTATTTGGACTCTAGCGAGTTGCCAACAGATAGACATTTACGGCTTAATGCTGTTAGAATCAAAAGGCGCATGTGTTTCGACCAATATTTCGATATTCCCAAACATATCTTTATCAAAAATTGTGTAGCAACATTCTTAAGTTCATCAACAATTTAAAATTACACCGAAAATTCGAGTAATATCACTAGTTTCCGTTTAATAATTTAAAACAATAAAATTCGTTAATTAACTTTTAACATAAACTTAAAATTAAACATTTGAATAGAAACTAATATATAAATTCTTATAATTAATCGTACTCGTATGTTGATTGAAGATTGTTTCCAAAAACTTTTGGTATGTTGATTGAAGATCCAGGTATATTCAATAAATTGATTTTCCATAAAGTAAACCAAAAAAAAAAAGTATGTTGATTGAAGATAGATTGATAGTTGCCAGAAGACTTTCAAAGAAATGTTATGTTGATTGTTGCAATTAAACAATTTAATTGTAAGAGTATGTTGATTGTTGTAATTAAATTAACGCCAACAAATATTTTATAATAGTATGTTGATTGTTGAATTGCCGGAAAAAAAATTTGTTAAATAATTAATTTAACAAATCTATAGGTTGCTATTGGTTTAGTTTGCCATAAATAGTATACAGTTGTTATAGTTACCAAGGTTTCCATTTTAGTATGTTGATTGCTGAGTTGAGTTTGTTTAAAACAATGTAATTGTTACATTAACTTTTGGTATGTTGATTGTGGTTTAATTTTTAATTAGTTTAACACTTGTTTTTTTTTTTAATTAAGAATTATTTTAACTATTTTAAGAAGTGTCTTTAAGTTTATATTTTTACTAATATAAATTTCTTTTATAGTTGCCAGACTGTTATAAGCTCGTTATATAGTTTTATTTTAATGATATTGAAGTTATTTTAAGAAAAAAATGTTAAAGCACCTTTAATATGTTTCAACAAAGTTTATTTTTTTTTTTAATTCTTTGTACAATTTGTTTAATAGTATTTAACAATTACTTTATATTTAACTTTTTAATATTTAAGAAAAACACTTTATATTAAAATGGGTGCAAATGGTTTTAAAACTTTATTTAAGTTTATCAACCGCATTGCCGAGTGGCACAACGTAATTCACACCCATCATATATATTTAAATTATGTTGACGTGAATATTCATTAACAACATGTTGTCCTAAAAATTTGTTTAATCAAATAAAAACAGAAAATTTGTTGTTATTTGGCAAAATTAAATGTTTGAGCAAATTTAAACCTAAATTAAATGTTTTCAGTGTTTTCTGTAAAACCCTAATTTTACTATAAAATACATACTTAAACTTATTATAAATTAAAGTATAATAATGCTTACCCTCCTTTAGTCTTATTTGTTTGATAGTTTCATCACATTCAGATCGGGCAAGATGGTTTTCGTAACGCCTTTCAGTTTTGAGCTTACGTAACTCATTACCATCGTAAATATTTAAATTGTATTGTTTTAAGACTTGTATGCCTATAAACCAAAAATAATACATACATACAAATTCCAATATTTACAATAATTTGTAAATTTTTTCTTCAAAACAAAAATATTGCCACATATTTCATTTATTTCATTATATTTTTTGTTTAAGATTTTTTTTTTTTCAAAAACTTCAGAAAACACTGATATTTGTTATATAGTATATTATTTTAAAACAACTTTAACTTACCTTCTTCAATACGTTTTGAAGCCTCATCGATATCTACACCAGCATCCTTAAGTATCACATACATAAGTGGCATCATTTCCCAGGGATAACCAAATTTTTCTATTAATTTTTGGCAATAATCTAGTATAAGATCTAAAATGAAAAGAATATATTAAAAAAAATATATTAGTACAAGAAACTATAAATTATATAGAGATCTAAATAGATACTTATAAACCCTTAAAGGGCTAAGTAGCAAACGATTCTCACATTAGACATAACATAATATATGCAGTGACCATTTTGCTTATCTCTGACATATGTAATATAAAATAATACTCCAAAAGAAAATTTAGGGTTCAATCATGTCTAGTTTATTTATAACTCTTCATAAAGGAGCCCTTTTTTCATATTATTACCCATTTATTCATTAAATAAGCAGAAAATCAAGCAATTTATAAACAATATATTATTATTTTTTAGCAAAAGTAAGACATTTCAATTCAAGACATTGGCTCTGTCTTGACTGACTCATCATTAAAAGCTTAATTTATTTGATTAAAATTAAAAAATGTAAATTTTTCGCTATAACTTAAAATAAGTAAAGCTTAATTAAAACAAGAAATTTAACATAAAATTTATTAAATATTCCACATATAACCAACCCCTTTATGTTTGTAAATAAATAATAAATAAATAAATGTAGCTGCTGCTAATGACATCAGAAGTAAAATAAATTGAAATAAATATTCACACATTAAATAGTTAAGAAAAAAGTTTAAATTAAATGAATGTAAAAATATACAATACAATTTTGCCATTTTTTTTTGTTTTGTTAAGTTTTGTAAACCATTTTTGTTTTCTTCTTTAACATGTCGGTTCTTTTTTTTTATTTGGCATTTTAAATGGTATAAAAAAATTAATGTGTGGTGTTTTATTTAGAACAGTTGTGTTTAGAATTTTAGCAGGAAGGAAGGGAAATGTAAACTTACTAACGAACTATCTATCTATCTATCTATCTAATCTATCTATCTATCTATCTTCTATCTATCTATCTATCTATCTATCTATCTATCTATCTATCTATCTATCTATCTATCTATCTATCTATCTATCTAGCTATCTATCTATCTATCTATCTATCTATCTATCTATCTATCTATCTATCTATCTATCTATCTATCTATCTATCTATCTATCTATCTATCTATCTATCTATCTATCTATCTATCTATCTATCTATCTATCTATCTATCTATCTATCTATCTATCTATCTATCTATCTATCTATCTATCTATCTATCTATCTATCTATCTATCTATCTATCTATCTATCTATCTATCTATCTATCTATCTTATCTATCTATCTATCTATCTATCTATCTATCTATCTATCTATCTACTATCTATCTATCTTATCTATCTATCTAGTCTACCTGTAAAAGTATGTGCTATTTTATTTCCTTAACTCAATTGGGCTTTCATATCGTATGTTGTTATTATTGTCGTTTTTTTCCGGGACTGTTGTGTAGCATACATAGTTTTCATGTTAAAACAAAAACAAAGCTATACCTATGTATAACAAAAAACAATTACAATAAAAATGAGAAAAAAGCACAACAATAACAACAGTTAAATACAGAAATGTCTGTCTATTTGTTTGCATGAGTACAATTTATTATGGTTGCCATTTAGTGTTTTGTTGTTTTCTTATTTTTAATGTTTATTGTTTTTGTTGTACAATAACTTAAGCAATGGATCTTGTATGGCGTGTAGTTTTGTTGTTGTTGCTTCAGTTACATACTTTTACATTGATTAATCTACCACCATCTTCTTATTATGTTGTATTTCTTTACTTTTTTTCTCTCTCTTCTGTTTACCTCACATTATTTTGAAAAGAAGAAAATAACTCATTATAACTTGTATGTTGTTTTTGTAACCATAAAAAATTTGTTATTATTTTAAATATGATGAACAACTACATATGCATGCGAACAAACAAACAAACATGGATTCTTCACGTCAGCAAATTTATAGTTGTACCGCAACAAATACAAAATACACATGTTAACATGCTGGCGAACCCACTGAACATTTTTCTAATGATATAATTTTAATTGGTTGATTGGATATAAGCCAAATACCTAAGTAATTATATTTGGATCCTATTGTGTGTTAAATATTTGTATTGTTTATTTTTTGAAATAATTTACCTAAAATATTCGATTGGAATTAATGGTAAGAAATTTTAAAGCGTCTTGTTGGCTGATGATAAATGTTTGATAAATTTTATAAGTATTTTCGTACCCGGTTCACACCCAATAAACTTTTTTGTTAGATATGCATGTATGTATGTAAGAACTGATCAAATTGTGTAATTAATACATACAAAGCGAAATCAAGATTTGTCAAAACTAATTTGAAGTTTTCGAAATTCAAGTCGTGGGTATTGCCAATTTTTCTACTACATATTTTATTTTTCTTCCATAAATTCTTTATAAATTGTTTGTTGGGTTGCTTTAATTTGTTTTGCTTTTATGCTTTACTTTCGTACTATTTCGTATTGTTGCTTCATGTTGTATTGTTGTAGTTGTTATTATTAGTATGCGTTTGAAATTGTGTGTTTTTTGTGTTGTTTTCATTTTATGCTTAACTGTAGATGTGTGTGCCATGTTGTTGTTATTACCATGTGCTTCATTTCTTGTACGTGTTTTTTTTTTTTTGCTTTTTGCCATAAAAAAGGCGGAGCCACAGTCAGCAGTGATTGGTTGAAATTTTCTATTTAATGTTTTTATATTCTCCACCTTTTATGTTGCCGATTGGCAACAACAACACTAATTTCAACAACATGAGGAAATGCAAACGCTTGCATATATTAAAAAACAATTTAGTTAGTTTTTGCATAAATTTTCATTAAATTTTGTTTAACATTTTTAGTAATGATTTTTGTTGTTAAAACCAACAGATTTTTTTAATATTTCAGTTATCATTAACATCAATGGCAATTTGTATTAAATTTCAAAATTGTTTGAAAACTATTTAATTAAATATATATTGTGGTTTTTAGTTGTGACAGTAGGTAGGTATAATCCAAAGTATATTAATAAAGTAGCGACATCTCTTGTTGTACAACAACATCTACAACAACCACATATATTTTGTTTTTGGAATAATTTAAGATTGTGTCAAAATAAAATTTCCTTGAACAACAATGTGAACAAAACATAAATAAAAAATATTACTTTTAAGTTAAAAATATTAACAATTTAATTATATTATTATATATTATACAATTTATTACACTTTTAAACTACTTTAAAACCACTTTTAATTCACTTTTTCAACTTTTCACAAATTTTAACAAATAGCAAAACACAATTTAAAAATGGCGACGTAAACAATGTTAACAATTTTCAAAACAAACTTTGACAACTTGCTTCATTTATCTAGTTTAAAAAAAATAGTCAGCTGTTCAAGTGATGCTACTTTATTAATATACTTTGGTATAATCTAATGTTTCTCCCGCTTAAATCATTTGCCTGTAATGTCAAAGGTCAAATGTTTTAATATTTAAATGTAAAATTAACGAATTGATAATTGATCAATTAAAAAAATATAAATTTTTTAGTTAAAATTAACCCTTTTCAAAGAGTTCTATCTATTTTGAGAATTGTCTATATTGCAGACTATAGAACAGTCTATAGTCTGAATGGTCTGGTCTATAGACCAGTCTATAGTATGGACTATAGAATAGTCTATAGTCTGGACTATAGTATAGTCTATAATCTGAACTATAGATTAGTCTATAGTCTGTGCTATAGAATAGCATATAGCTTGGACTATAGATTTATAATAATTTATAGTCTGGACTATAGAATAGTCTATAGTATGGACTATAGAATAGTTCTGGAATATAAAATAGTATATAGTCTGATCTATAAAATAGTCTATAGTCTGGACTATTAAATAACCTGGGCTATATAATAGTCTATATTTTGGGTTATAGAATAGTCTTTAGCTTGGACTATAGAATTACCACTTATCTGGACTATAGAATAGTTTATAGTACATAGTCTGGACTATAGAATTGTCTATATATACTACAGAATAGTCTATAGTCTGGACTATAGAATAGTCTATAGTCTGGACTATAGAATAGTTTATAGTCTGGACTATAGAATAGTCTATAGTCTGGACTATAGAATAGTCTATAGTCTGGACTATAGAATAGTTTATAGTCTGGAATATAGAATGGTCTATAGTTTATTGTTTGGGCTATAAAATAGTCTATAGTCTGTATTATAGAATAGTCTATGTCTGGACTATAGAATAGTCTATAGTCAGCAGTAGAATAGTCTGTAGTCTTAAATCTATATTGTGAAAAAATTTTGAAGCTTAAAAATTCTGCTAATAATAATATGGAAACGATGCAAAATAATAACCTATAGAAACGCACTTTCTTATACTTTATATAAATATATGTTTTAAGTTCCCTTTAATTAATCATCAATCAAGAAATTTAAGTATTTAAAGTATAAATTGGGACAAACATGATCTTTCCCATAAAAAATGAAAGTGATTGATCCTTTTGAAAAAAAATCTACACAATATGGTGACCTAGTTTTTGAACAGAATTGAATTCTTAAAAAAACCTTTATAAAGTGCCAATAGCCCAAAACCAATACTTAAATAATTCCCTGAAACATCTGTGTACTATTATTTATATTGAAAAACAAACAAAAAAAGCACCAACAATTGTACGCATAAATCACAAAAGCTCAGAAGCAAGGGAAGCTGTATGAATTAAAAAAAAAAAACAACACACACCTTCTTAATATCAAATGACAATTCGTTGAAGTGTTCTTAAAACGTGCGCAAAAGCTCATTAAATTCATCAATTATCATTGAAATGAAAATATTTTCGTTGTAAATCCATTCGAGCATATTGAAGATGATCCAATTTGGGTCATATGCCCAGTGTGTAGTCAGTCCTGTTGCATCATGCAGGGCATCGTAAGCAAATGCATGAGGTTTAATGGTGGATGATGTGCAGCAGCTAACTTCCCTAACAGCACTTTCGGCATTAAATTCAAAAAGGATGTCAATATGAGTTAAATAAGGCGTGTTTTTTATTAGTGTTAAATGGCTG